TTTATTTATTTATCAGTCATACTAGGATTTTTATATTTAAATACAACAGTAAACAAGTAGATATAGAATTGAATTATTAATATATTAATTAAAATAATATTTCAATATATTAGAATATTTTATAGCCATTAATATTCATGATTGAATTTATGATTATATATTCCTTTAAATGGCTTTTCATTTTGTAACAACATTTATGATTACCTTTAGTGTGCCTCAAATATTACTCATGCTAAATCAGTAATATCAAGATTATTTTCAATTATTAATCTAATGATTTATATCCGTAAAATATCATTTATTGGATTAATATTATTAGGTTACTGTTGTTCTACTTAAGTTTTTCAGGTCAATTTCAGTACAAAATTGTTACTGTTGGTAGGTAAGGGCTAATGTCTTGAAATCTGTGAAAAGTTTTTGTTTATTATATAGGAGTGATTTTTTTTGTGGTAACTTTAATTATACAAGGGATATCATCATTATTTTTTAGAATGGTTAGAATTGATAGTCTACCACATATTAAAGAGGAAGATTGTAATGAAAAAGAAAATTGTTAAATTAAATATATATCATACCATGATCTACCTAATAGTTATTACACTGCAAAATAAGCAATTGGTAGTTAAAAATTTTGAAACTTTACTTCAGAAAATTTGATTGTTCAGAAGTATATATTATTTATATATTTTAATAGAGATTAAGCAGCTTTAATTTAAAGAATCTACTCTAGATACAAAATTTTCTAAAAAGACATAGCGATTAAACTATATCACCTGAAAGGAATTTTTTAGGCAGAAATACTTTTAATAATCTTTAATTTTAAATTGTTTTAAAAGGCTTTGATAAATCACAAAGAGAAAAGATTTTATAATCAGAACAAATAACTAAATAAGCCTCACATTTTAATGCTTTTAGAAAATTATATATTCACTTAAGATAAGATTGATCTAATAACTTGATAATTTACTTTAACTATCTAGGATTGAAAATTGTTTTATGCAGCCTTTTTTGAGAGTTAGATTTATTAATCTAAAGCTAAACTATCTCTCATTGTTTCAAAAAAATGATTAACGGACATGGATAATAATTTCAAAGCAAACCTAAAATTGAGTAATTTTTTTGGATCAGAATTTGATAATGGAGATATAAGAGGTATGAACTTGAATGGTGCTTATCTATTTAATTATAAATGAAAATATATTAAAATATATGAATTAAATAAATTCGATATTGAAAAGATCTGTCTTATTAGTCTGTTTTTCATCTGTTTGAACTACGTTAGCGTCTGATAGCTAAGATAAGTTGAATTATTGAATTTGGTTTTAATGATTGATGATATAAAAATGGTATTAAATAGCTTTAAAATTAGTTATTACCATCATGCTAATTCAATGAAATGAAAAATCAAAATCCTGCTTCTTCTCAGTTTATATGGAATTGATTTTTAATCACAATTTATGTTAAATATATTAAAAATGAATAAACCAATAATGATAGAGAATGAAAAAGATTTTTAATGTTAAAATAAACATGATTAACCAATCCTTCTGGTTGCCTTAGACCCAAAGTTAGACAAGAAATAAAGATTCTTGTGTAATCAATGTATAGAAAATAAAGAATAGGATGTCAAGACAATTGAATTTAAAAAAATAATTTAATTAATTGAAGATAAATAAGAGAGTAAGATTAGTAACTAAGAAAATCTTGCTTCATAAACTATTCAAAAACTTCAAACATTCATAACAATCACTCAACAATTAATGTCTTAATATATCAAATTATTTGAATCTATAATCAGAATAGCATAAGATTGGAACGAGCATTTATCGACTTAAAGGAAATAATGCTGTGAATACAGTTTTTATGAAGAATTAGATCGCTTCATTAAGAATAGTGATGTTGACAATATAAATCTAATTGATAATATCAATAGGTCATGGATGACTAAATTATATAATAACTTAGAAATATATATTTAAGATAAAGATAAGCTAAACTTAAATGAATTAAAGTTCCAATTCACTAATATCATTTAGAAAAAATAACCATCAGAAAATAAAATCAAATTAAAGTTAATTGATTAATCTGTGAAGTAAAGCAAAAGATGCAGAGCAATAGCTTTTGATGCTTCTGGGTCTATAATGGTATCAACTGAAGATAATGATATAAAAATATGGAGTTTTATAAATGGAACTATCAAATTAATAAACACTTTATAAGGGCACAGTGATTGGATTAATTGTTTAATTTATAGTTAGAAAAACAATTCTTTTATTTCTGGTTCTTATGATAAAACAATTAGATGTTGGAAATAAGGGAACTAAAATAAATGGATTAGTTCATAACCTTATAAATAACATCGTAACTTAATAATGTGTATAATAATGAATTCAAATGAGAATACACTCTTTTCTGGTGGTTTTGATAAAGCAATCAAAGTATGGAGGGTTGATTTTAATCAAAATGAATTAACTTATCTTTATTCATTGGAAAAACATAATAATAAAGTTACTGCATTAAGTTTAAATTAATCAGAAAATTAATTAGTATCTTGTGCAGAAGATAAGAATTAAATTATTATTTGGGAAAGAAAGTAATAAGATAAGTTTGAATTCAAATATTATGTTACATAATCTATTTAATATGAAGGATTAAAGGTTAAGTTTATTAAAGATATTAGTTTATTTGGATTAATGGTGGAAAAGAAATAGATAAACTCTATGTATTTGAATTAAAAGAAGGAAAATTTTAGGAGAATTCAGAAAAGACAATTTAACTAATAACAAATAATTAGAAACCTGATGAATATCGTTTTCCGATCATTTACAATTAAGAGAGGAATCAAATATTAGTGAGACATAAAAAATACATTTATTTAATTAGAGAGATGAATGATGGGAAGTTTAAAATATTTGATTAAGTGAATTTTGAAACAATTCAAATATTTGGAACAGCCACAAATAATGGAAAATATCTGTTTTCTTGGGATGATAAGAATTTAGGATATTCAATATATGAATTATGATAAATCAAAAGCAATATTTTTTATCTATTTTATCACCAAATTTCTAGTTTTCCTATTTTCTACATTTAAATTGTATTAAGAATAGTTAAATTATTCTGAAAATAAGAAGTTCATAATTCTTTTGATTAAAATGGTTTATGATATATAGTTATAATAATATAAAAACATCTCTCTACAATAAATAGTAGTCCCAAAAAATATTTGGATTTTCTCAATAAAATTATGCTCCTATTAACAAACAGCAGCTTCCCTATAACTTCCCTATAAAATAAAAATCCAAAAAATCAGCTTAATTAAAAAGAGAGGGGAATTCAATATTTTTTGACAAAGCTTTAAAATTCTATTAGCAAATTTAAACCTTTTCTCATATGAGCATTGAAATTAACTAATCAAGCCCTATGACTAGCTTAATTTTTTAATTATTTAAAATATTGGTTAATAGTTGTAACGCTATTAGTTTTATATCCTTTTTTTTGGTCACTTTATTTTAGAAAGGAAAAACAATCATTGAAGACGATTAATAAAAAGCTAAAATATATCGATCATAGAAGTAGAAAAACTTATATATAATGAATGTAGAAATTTTAGCAGGGGAGGATCTTATGAATAATAAAAAGTAGGTTTTTTCTGAAAAGACTGGTAATTTGGTTGAGTTGTCTGCAATATTGGGAATACACAAATTAATTTGATATAATTACTTTTTTATATAATTTTTCACTACATTTGATAGGTCTACTCTCCATAAATTAAAGATCAAAAATATTTTCGATTATTTTTCTTCTGATTTAATTATTCATACATCCTTATTAAAATAAAAACGAAGTAATTCTTTAATAAAGATTTGAAAATCTACTTTTTTTCTATTAGAAAAAATAATCCTTAAGCACCGTATGACTTTTAATATGAAAGTCTACCAATATTTTATTATTGAGCTAAATCTATTTGAATATAAAAATGATCAATTAAACAACTTGTTGTAATTATTCAATTCATTCTTAATCAATTACTTTTATAAAGATAATCAAATGATCTTTTTCAGTAGCATTTCCAAAAAAAATGATATGCTTTGTTATAATCAATGAATTCAATAATTTTTTGTAAGAAGGAGAAATAATTAATACTAAACGGTTTTAAGAGATATTTTGATAAAAGAAATTTTTCTTAGTTAAAATAAAAGAATTTATTTATCTATGAGTAGTTTGAATATCAATTAAGGGAATACTAATTAGATATAAAAATAATAAATTTGAATTGTAAGATATAAAAAGTTTTATTTTTTGAGAAAAAAATTCAATTAATTTCTTTAATATTTTTATTCTTCTTCTTTAATATTTCATTGTTATCGAGATTAAGTCTCATGAAAATTGAATCATTGATAATCAATTTAAAATATAAATATTAGTTATATAGATTATTGATGAAAGGTTTGTTTGCTTGAAAAAGATTATGGATTAGTATTTGGTATATCAAATTTATTGAAAAACTAGGCCTCAAAACTTTTATTAATTAACAAGGCAAGTACTTGATGAAAATACTTTTCAGACGAATTAACTTGAGTACAACCATTTACTAAATTATAATAAAAAAAAACAAATAAATGATTGAGAAAATCATTTTGGAAATCATGCCATTTTTTATATAGAATTAGAAACAGTTGACTACTTATTTTTTTATTAATAATTTATTAAAAATGATTTAATCTAAAATGTTAGAAGATGAAGAAGAGCTTCATTGTTCTTTTAATCATAAACTTCCTATTTTGATGGTTGCATGTGATTTAAAATTAAAGAAGAATCAAAGACTTTTATGCTCTGAATGTATTGAAAATTTAGAATCGCAACCATAGTTAATGAATTTTAAGAAAGCCTTAAAAATTATTGAAGAAAATTAAAAATAAAAGAAAGAATTCATTGAGAATGTGATAATGATTAACATAAAACTGATTGAANATTTAATTATTCATACATCCTTATTAAAATAAAAACGAAGTAATTCTTTAATAAAGATTTGAAAATCTACTTTTTTTCTATTAGAAAAAATAATCCTTAAGCACCGTATGACTTTTAATATGAAAGTCTACCAATATTTTATTATTGAGCTAAATCTATTTGAATATAAAAATGATCAATTAAACAACTTGTTGTAATTATTCAATTCATTCTTAATCAATTACTTTTATAAAGATAATCAAATGATCTTTTTCAGTAGCATTTCCAAAAAAAATGATATGCTTTGTTATAATCAATGAATTCAATAATTTTTTGTAAGAAGGAGAAATAATTAATACTAAACGGTTTTAAGAGATATTTTGATAAAAGAAATTTTTCTTAGTTAAAATAAAAGAATTTATTTATCTATGAGTAGTTTGAATATCAATTAAGGGAATACTAATTAGATATAAAAATAATAAATTTGAATTGTAAGATATAAAAAGTTTTATTTTTTGAGAAAAAAATTCAATTAATTTCTTTAATATTTTTATTCTTCTTCTTTAATATTTCATTGTTATCGAGATTAAGTCTCATGAAAATTGAATCATTGATAATCAATTTAAAATATAAATATTAGTTATATAGATTATTGATGAAAGGTTTGTTTGCTTGAAAAAGATTATGGATTAGTATTTGGTATATCAAATTTATTGAAAAACTAGGCCTCAAAACTTTTATTAATTAACAAGGCAAGTACTTGATGAAAATACTTTTCAGACGAATTAACTTGAGTACAACCATTTACTAAATTATAATAAAAAAAAACAAATAAATGATTGAGAAAATCATTTTGGAAATCATGCCATTTTTTATATAGAATTAGAAACAGTTGACTACTTATTTTTTTATTAATAATTTATTAAAAATGATTTAATCTAAAATGTTAGAAGATGAAGAAGAGCTTCATTGTTCTTTTAATCATAAACTTCCTATTTTGATGGTTGCATGTGATTTAAAATTAAAGAAGAATCAAAGACTTTTATGCTCTGAATGTATTGAAAATTTAGAATCGCAACCATAGTTAATGAATTTTAAGAAAGCCTTAAAAATTATTGAAGAAAATTAAAAATAAAAGAAAGAATTCATTGAGAATGTGATAATGATTAACATAAAACTGATTGAAAAACTCTTAAAACAATTATCTTAATTAAAGTTTAATGTAATTCAATAATTAGATTAATTAATTGGAGGTGTCGATTAGTGGATAGAACATTTATTAAAAATTGGGTATGAAAATGCAACTTATAGTTTTTTTGATCAATTAGATAATCTAATTAACAAAAAAGAACTAGATGAATTCAACCAGAAATCATTAATTGACCAAATTAATTAAATTAACTAATCATGGGATCAAAATATTGAAAAGAAATTAAATTTATTTAAATCATTTTAAGATAGTTAAAAAGGAGAAGAAATATTAACAAAGTTAAGAAATATCAATGAAACAAAATAAAATACAGCATTGTAAATATTGGATGAAGTAAACTATTAAATGATTGTCTAGACATAAAAGAAAGCGATTTAAGTTGAGGATAGTTAAAAGCATTTTGAAAATTAATTGATGATCAATAAAGAAATTGAATTTCAATTAATTGATGATTCAAATAAATAGATTGGATCATGCTATACAATAGCATTTAATATGGATGAATCTATTATGGTTTCAAATGAAATGAGTTAGATTAAAATTTGGAATTTTGAATAAGGAAGATTTAAATTATCTAATTGTTATAATAATCATAGTGTTCCCGTTTTATGTTTAGTTTATAGCAAAAAAACAAATAACTTCATTTCTGGTTGTATTTATCAAGAGATTATCTGTTGGTAATAAATTAACTAAAATGAGTGGAAGTGTTCAAAACCATTCAAATAACATAGTAATTCTGTTTAATGTTTAATTTTAAATAAATAGGAGGATCAACTTATTTCAGGAGGGAATGATCATAAAATAATTGTATGGAAAGTAGATTTTATCGAGAATGAGCTAACTTTTCTGTATTTTTTAGATAAACATAGTAATAGAGTACTTTCACTCAGTTTTAACTAATCTGAAACTTTATTGGCATCATGTGGTTATAATCACTTTATAATTTGAGAAAAAGGATTATAAGGAAAATGGGAATTCAAATATAATTAAGTTCTTCAATATGGAAAGAAAATACATTTCCTGAATGATGAATAATTTCTTTGGGTAACTAAGAATAAGGAAATTAATGATATTTTGGTATTTGAATTATTGAATGGAGTCTTTTAATAGAATTCAAATAAAACTATCACTTTAATTAAGAATAATGAATGTGAAGATTATTTATTTTTTTCAAATAATACATAATAAAGATAAAAATGTGATATTGATAAGAAACAAGCATCATATTTATTTGATAAGATAATTAAACAATGGCACATTTGAAACTATTACATCATTAAATTGTTAAACGGATAAATCTTTTGGAGCCATGACCAATAATGGATAATATTTAGTATTATGGGATAAAAAATATAAAAAATACTCATCATTTGAAATATTATATAAATGAATTAAAAAATAATATTTTTTATTCTTCCTTCTTTTAATTGAGATCATCATGAACAATAAAAGCTTTTATGACACTATTCAATTATTTTTCTTATGAAATATCATAAGATTAATTTACGGATTTATATTTAAACTTTAAATATTTAATAATCAAATTTTTGCTATATTTAAATTTATAATTATGCAGCATCTGAAGATTTAAATTGTATCAATTGCTTTCAGACTAGAGTTTTCCTTTAAAAATTTATATGAAATTTTAGTTTGCTCTCTTTTTTTAATTGCTAGTTTGTAAATGATTCTTAATAATAACTCATGATTTCAAAATTCTGCTATTTTTAAATACTAAAGTTATTCTTAAGAATAGTTATGTTTATGAATAATAATAAAAAAAGTATCTATCTTTTAATAGGAATATATTTCTAGTAAATTATTAAAGAAAATAAAAAATGAATCTGAATTAATAAAGTATTATTGAAGATTATGTATCATTAATTTTCAGATAATACTATAAATGGTGAAAAAGTAAACTATTTATAAAAAACAAACAGATGTGCTAATTTGCCCTAACCAAAAAAAATTAAAAGGGATGGTCTCTAATAAAGTAGCAAGAATATTAGTTTACACATCAACTAAAAATTTAGCTCTATTTATTTAAATAGAATATTCAAAGTTTTGACCTTCTTGATTCATTGATAGGGTAAGCCTAATAAAATATTTAAATTTATTAAAACATGATAAAGATTCAAAAAAAAATACTTGATAAAATAAATTCTTAACTACTCTATATTAAATTCTATTAATTGTAAAAACGTAACATTTTGCGAGATCTATATAATCTCTATGAAATTAATATATTTAATCTCTTTGTACAAAAATTAAATATATGGAAAAATTAAGTGAGTCTTTCCTCCAAATAGAACATGAGGCAATGTCAAACTAAGACCCTCAATAACGATTATTCAATTTTTAAATAGAAAAATAATTAAAAGGGCTGAATTGAGCAAAAAATTATGTAATCAAACCATAATAGTGATTATGAAAACATCATGTTACAACATCTCAGTCATAACTGAGTTTCATCAAAATTACCTTAGTTTTTTTCTATCTAATACAAATCGGATTTATTTTTAAGTTTGTAAAGATAATGAGAATTTTAAAATGCACCTTGTTTATTTATTGTTGTTGATAAAATTATTAAATATTGTATTCTTTCACGACTTAATACTCAACTCTTTAAATAATTTTAACTAAAGTGTTTTTATACTACATTTTAATAAATTTCGTTCTAATTCAAATGATTTTCAAAGTATTAATCAAAAGCCTGTAGTTTTCGTATATTTGAATAGATCGTGATATCTTGAATTCATTAAGGCCTTTGATATAAAGTAATTAATTTTTAAACATTTTTGCGTTGTAATAACATATTTTTATATTAGGATGATTAGTTAAAAATTTATACAATGGCCTCTTTGTAGACAAATTTACACTGAAAATAATTAATTCAACAATTAATACAAAAATAAAATCTATCTAATCAATTCGATGAAGACATAGACATATAAAAGAGTACTGCTAATCAATGAAGTGAGCTTGTTATAGAGAGTTCTAAAGTAGCTATTAATTATAAAGGAATTCCAAGATTCAAATTCAAAATATATAAGCCTCCTCCAGTTAAATCAATAATGGAATAGGTTATCTAATAAAACAAATTATAATCGGTAATTATGTCTTGAATTTTATTTTTTTGAATTTATTCCTTAAAAAATGGACAAATCAAACTAACTCATTATAATTTGATTATTAAATTTTTTTTAAACAAAAAAATCAATTTCATTTGAGAAAACACTGAATTATATTATTAGTTATTTTAGTTGTATATTATATATAATATATATATGAGCTTATGCCATACAATATTTTATAGAATTTCTTTGTATACATGTAAGCACTAATTTAAATAATTATAAATTAATACTCAAAATATATATATATTAAGAATAATTTAATTTTTATTTGAGGGCGTTTGCAATTAAATTATTGGTGATTTTTTTAATGTTTTGGCATATCCCACCTTAATATTCAGTTTATATCTAATTAGATTTAAGATATTTCCTAAAAAATATTTCACTAATGCAAAATGCAGTAGCATGATAACAATTATAATTTTATATTAAGAAAATATTGTAAATATTATACTTTAATTAATCAATTTCAAAAACTAATTACATAGTTAAAAAATGCTGGCAAAAAATGTATAAATTTGTCCTTATTTTGAAAAGTATTTCATCTCAGTAAATTTATTTAAAAATATTTTTTGGCTCAATCAATATTGAATAACAAAAGACTAAATTATATCCATCACTAAGTAAAGATTCTTATTTGATATTTTTATTTAATATTTATTAATTTAAAAATTTTGATTAATGATTTTTTTATATAGAAGAATTAATATCATACATATTAGTGAATTTTAAAACAAATAAAAAGATAATCTCAGCGCAGTATTCACTTATAGAATAAACTCCCTCTCTTTCCCATATAAAAAGAAAATAAGATCTGATTATTTTTATTAAATTTTTTTTAATTAATTACTGGTTTAAAAATTAATTATTAAATTGATAAAGAAATTAAAATTTTCATCTTGTTTTTTTTATATACTATTCTTATTTATTATCCCATCTTTTTATTTTCCAATTAATTATTTAATTTTCATTTTGATTCTTGATCAAGTTTTTCAGATTATTTCTTTCAAACTTAAATCTTATTTAGATTTATAATATTTAGTTAAACTTAATTTCCCTGATGTATTGTCTAATCTTGGATCTCGTTATTCTTATTTTTTTTAAGGTTTATTTTTATTCTTTGGCAAAGGTATTCTTGCATCTCTAATTTCAGGTCTTTCATTTTATTAATTAATCTATTAAATATCCTCCTGAGTAATTCCTATTTTTTAATTTATGTTTTGATTATTATTATCATTTAGATTTCATTTCCTACTCAAAACCCAATATGGTGAAAAATGAAACTTTTGTCAATTATTCCTTAATCATTCTTAATCCATAGAAATTTTACCTTGAATTTTTCATCATCCTTCATTAATGAATTTCTTTTAATTATAAAATTTATATTGAATTAATTTACTTAAAAATTATTAATTATCACTTAATAATATATATATTGAAAAATAAAAATTAATGAAGGTAAGAATTAATTAGACCACTCTTTAATAAAAAAAGTACTTTCAAATAAGAATACATATTTTCATAAACTTAATTATTTTACTTAGATATTAATCAATATCTCTATAATTGCAAAGACAAGTCTCTTGCATTTTAGTTTATATTAGTGTTTATGTTTGAATGACTTATATGTAATACATTTGAGCCATATTATTCTAACTATACTATTATGCGCTTCAAAATATCATCTCTTATAAATTATTACAATAGTTAAATAAAAATCATAATTATTATTTATTTAGGTATCTAATAGGAAAATCTATTTTATAACAATACTATACTATCATTACTTTTACTGGCAAATACTTCTATATTTTATGATAAAAAATAAATAGGAGCGTTTAAGATATAATTTCATAAAGTCTGAAACTCTTGTGCTACCTTATAATTATGCAATCCTGCATTGCTTTTTGGTTGCCATCAAAATGATAAANATTTTTATTAAATTTTTTTTAATTAATTACTGGTTTAAAAATTAATTATTAAATTGATAAAGAAATTAAAATTTTCATCTTGTTTTTTTTATATACTATTCTTATTTATTATCCCATCTTTTTATTTTCCAATTAATTATTTAATTTTCATTTTGATTCTTGATCAAGTTTTTCAGATTATTTCTTTCAAACTTAAATCTTATTTAGATTTATAATATTTAGTTAAACTTAATTTCCCTGATGTATTGTCTAATCTTGGATCTCGTTATTCTTATTTTTTTTAAGGTTTATTTTTATTCTTTGGCAAAGGTATTCTTGCATCTCTAATTTCAGGTCTTTCATTTTATTAATTAATCTATTAAATATCCTCCTGAGTAATTCCTATTTTTTAATTTATGTTTTGATTATTATTATCATTTAGATTTCATTTCCTACTCAAAACCCAATATGGTGAAAAATGAAACTTTTGTCAATTATTCCTTAATCATTCTTAATCCATAGAAATTTTACCTTGAATTTTTCATCATCCTTCATTAATGAATTTCTTTTAATTATAAAATTTATATTGAATTAATTTACTTAAAAATTATTAATTATCACTTAATAATATATATATTGAAAAATAAAAATTAATGAAGGTAAGAATTAATTAGACCACTCTTTAATAAAAAAAGTACTTTCAAATAAGAATACATATTTTCATAAACTTAATTATTTTACTTAGATATTAATCAATATCTCTATAATTGCAAAGACAAGTCTCTTGCATTTTAGTTTATATTAGTGTTTATGTTTGAATGACTTATATGTAATACATTTGAGCCATATTATTCTAACTATACTATTATGCGCTTCAAAATATCATCTCTTATAAATTATTACAATAGTTAAATAAAAATCATAATTATTATTTATTTAGGTATCTAATAGGAAAATCTATTTTATAACAATACTATACTATCATTACTTTTACTGGCAAATACTTCTATATTTTATGATAAAAAATAAATAGGAGCGTTTAAGATATAATTTCATAAAGTCTGAAACTCTTGTGCTACCTTATAATTATGCAATCCTGCATTGCTTTTTGGTTGCCATCAAAATGATAAAGTCAATTTTTAATTAAATAGAATTATAAAAAATATTGCCAGTGCTTTTCTCTATAAAGTATTTTTAAAGATGTAATTCATCATTAGTAAAATAAAAAGTTCTATCAAAATTAGATGCTGGTAGAAATACTAAACCCTTTATTCCACAACCATAAGCGAATAAGTATTTATTAATCTTAATACACATTTTTTATAGAACTAATATTTTTTCCATCGATTGCGACCATGGTAATATAGTTCCACTTTCTGCAACAAATATAATATCAAATGCATTAAATACTTTCATTAGACTATGTTATTACTGAACTGCATTTTGATTAACATAAGAGCTTTAAATCTCATATAAGAAATCAGAAAATAATTAGAAATCTCACATTATATATTCCATTTCAAGGTAATTTCAAATCAATAATTGATTATTTACATCATTATGGAATATTTAATATCACTATTTAATTAATAAATATAAATAATTACATAATTTAATGAAATAATACACTTCTTTTATTGCATTCATGTGAGCATATACTTTTGATAAATTCATTTTGCCACTTAGGATCACTTAAAAAGGTTTCAATATTTCATTAAAAAGATCTGTCCTTTTTTTCTTTTATACACAAAAGGATGAGATATTCTTTAATACCTTTTTCCATTAATAATTCCAAATATTCATATGTAATTTCTCCAACTTTTTCAGATTTAAAGAATTCCTGTAGTTAACCACTAAGTCATAAATCTATTTAATTTTGAATATGTATTAATCAATAGTAAATTCTTTAGGAACCCATAACGGTTTTTCTTTTTCTCAGTTCAATTCTTTCTATTGAGACTTAAGAAAATCCTTCAATTATTCTTTGGCTATATGCCCTTGTTCTTATAACATTTCAGTGTAGACTTTTGATAAGATTGGCAAAAAGCTTATCTTTTGTTTTTACGGAAACTTTTCCCTAATAAACTTTGAGTTCATCGTCATCATATTTGAATCCCACTCTACATCTATAGTTTATGTTTTCTTATTAATAGAACTAATTCGTAACAAATCTCATGGACGCTCTTTTAGAAAGAGAGATTCTTACAGCCTTTTATATTCTTCCATATAAATAAAACAAAAATTCATCGTAATCCTCTAATGTACAAATCTTTTTGAAGTAGAAATGTATCCAAATTTTAGACTATCTTTTTTCCTTATATTTGTTACATTCGTTAACAAAGATCTTTTTCTCAGAAGAAGATAAAGTCCAGGATGATGATGAAGATGAACTATTCTTTCTTTTCTTTTGTCATTAATTAAAAATAAATTATATCAATTTTAATTAGTTTTAATAAATAAACAATTAAATTATGATAGACATTTGTGAAACCATTATTGAATATCTAAGAAATTCAATAAATATAAATGAAAAATGGTTTAAAATAAAAAGAGAATGAATTAATTATTTCAAAATAGCTATAAAAGAGGAAATAAAAATAAAATTGAATTGTAATTCTAAGTAGAAAGGATGATAATTAAAATTTATGATAAATAATAAATAGGTTATAATCCCAAAATTAGAATGATAAATAATCAAATAATTAATATATTTATTTTTAATGAGTTCCTCATCTTCAAGATCATCCTTTAGATCAACATCTTCTTCAAGATACTCTCACAAAAAACAATAGAGAAGAAGAAACTAAAAGAAAGAGGATTAAGATGCTGGCTATTTTGAGCATCAAATAGACATGTAAATAAAAGAAGGATAATTTGTGATCACAAGATTTTTAGAAGATGACACCTTTGGTCGTGTTTTAGAAGTCAGGACTTGCAACACTACTAATAATAAAAATTACTATGTCATGAAAGTAAAATTATTTGGATTTAAACATGCATACTGGCTATAGAAAGGTATAATTAAAATATCTTAAAATTGATATATAAATTGAATCAGCCAAAATCGAAACCAAAATATTAAAGTATATTTAAGACAAGGATAAAAGTGGAGCATTTAATATTGTGAGGTTGTTTACATCATTTGAAAGATATGATAATTATTTCATGGTTTTTGAGAGGGTATTTCTAAAATAATCATTAAGTTAGGGAAATCATTATATGACATAGTAAAATAGAACAATTATTTTGGCTTTTCTATGAAATATATGTAATTCTTTGCCAAGTAGATTATCATTTTTGTTGCATTCTTTCATCAAAACTAAATTACTCATACTGATCCTAAACCTGAAAATATACTAACTACCAATTGTGTTATAAACTTATTCCCTTCAAAGGAAGACAGTAATATTTTAAATTCCATTAAATTTAGAATTTGGGTTCCTGAAAGAGAAATTCTTAAAATCATTGATCTTGGAGATGCTACCTTTGATTATGAATACCATAATCCTATCATAAACACAAGATAATATCGTGCTCCTGAAGTTATTATGGGTTATCTAAAATGGAATGAGAGTTGTGATATTTGATGTATAGCTTTTGTCTTACTTGAATTTTCTAGCCTAATTTTCAATTTATTATTACATCAATCATATAGATTATTGACATAATAATATTAGCAAATAAATCTCTTAATGCTAATGAAATAGTTTCACATTTTGTATTCATATGTTCTTATATCTTATATCATTTTAAATTTCATCAAATAGAGTAGATAATTTCATAAATTATTTACTTTATTCATACTACCATATTTTTGCTGACATTTATCATTAATTTCTATTTTTTTATGTTTAATGATTCCACACAAGTTCTTTTAAGTCTTAATCTTATAATTTCATAATTTTTTCTATAATTTCACAAACTTTTAGTTATTCCTTAAAAAACTCTTCAAAACCTTTTTATCTCTATGATCTAATAGAATTAGTTTATCCAGTTATATTAAATTGAACTAGCTTATTCTTTTAAGGAATGGAAGGTATATAGTATACATTATTATATTATACTGCAATGCTTTAAACTTATCCTAAATTGTGATTCAAAAACCTTTGAATTCTAAAATATATTTTAGTAGCTAAATCTAATTATTATTTTCCTTTAATACATAAAGACACAATATTTTTTTTAGATTATAACTTTGCTTATTTAAACAATACGACTTTTTCCATTATTTGATATACCTATTTATACAATTATGATATAACTCTATAATGAAAAAATCAATAATATTGAATTTAATAATATGAGGTAAATATAAAAGATTATGGATTAATTTTCATATACAGATTAGGAATTACCTAAATTTGATTAAATTAATTAACACATTCGATTAACTTACAATTATTCTATCATGATGAAAATTATTTTAATTAATTTGGATAATTTTACATTGATTTTAATTTTTTTTCATTACAAATAACATGAATAAAATTAAAATATCAAAATTGAATTCTATTTGTTGTAAAAATATATTTCATATTTTATCTTTATACATAATTAATATATTTATTTGTTTAAATTTTTATTATAAATGATACAAATTACATTCATTCAACAACAAGGACAATATTTTTTGGATATTATTTTTAATAGCTTCCCATTATATTTCTACTGTTACAATTTATGATCATTAATCCAAAAAAAATTACATTAAGGATTTCTACATTTTTCAATAGAGATTTATTTTACAAGTTTTTTTAACTGTTCTAAGTATATTAAATTTATCAGTCCTTCAACTCCTTAAATATTGATTGCTTTCATTGATTAAGGATTTAGTTTCCTTCCACAAACACATCTAAAATTAAGCTAATTATCAATAAATAATTCTTTAAAATGTTGAAGAATACATCTCTCATGTAGAAGATGCTTCCATTTACTACATTGCAATGTGGCACTATGTTCAAATATGAATTATTTGCATTTAAAACATTCTTATTCCATATGATTTCCTATGCTATAGCTTCTATCAAATTTTGAATCCTATTTTATTAAAGCAAGAGGTTTAAAATTTTGATTTTTCCTTTTTGGAGAAATCGATTCTTTTCGTCTATTTTCAAGTGCTTTTACTTAGAAATTTAATTATTTCAATATTTTTCCTTATACATAGGGTGGGAGAACATTTTTATTTTTAATAACATCTTTTATAAGTTATATTTTCTCAGACCCCCAGTTTGAATGAATACTCATTAATAATTTAAGAAATGTAAATGATTTGAATTAATTTCAATGATTTATTTATATCATGCATTAACATTCATTATAATTATATAATATCAAATTTAAAAAATCAATGACTTCCCATATTAACTCTTATTCTAGGTAATATTTTTTATTATCCACTTTAATATTCAAATTCTTAATTAATTGAACGGCTAATACTTTTAATATCTATTTATTCATGATCATTTTCATCTAATCGATACCTCTTTGTTTTTGAAACATCAAATTATTTGACAAAATATTATAAATCTTCGACTTGCCGTGTTAATCTTAATGGATTAAATGCTATTTCTACAACATCTAATAATTTGTCTATTATTCGATTTTACTCATAATAAAAATCTCTCTTTTTTTTAATAAAAAATACTGATAATAAATTAAGTTTATCATCTTCCATCAAATTTGTTAGTGATTGAGTGCTGCCTCCTTTTTTAATATTTAAATAACAATTAATTAAATATAATTTATATTACCATAACTATAGAGGATATAAGATTATTGAAACACAAATTTTAAGTATAGTAAAAAATCCACCTATTTTTGCAGCTACATCCATCAATGTTTAATATGTAACCTGACTAATATATTTTTTTACACCTAAATGTAATTCTATTTAAACAAGTTAGGTATCTTTATCTGAACTAATAATAGGATCAATTATTGATTAATCATATTCTAAAGATTAGTATCCAGTTGTTTAAGGAAAAAAATAGAAAGGATTGTACTCTAGATATGAAACACTATAAGAGTATAAGACTTTAATGTATTTTTTTAGTTTTGGATACAGAGTTGTAACATCAAAATTTTACATAGTTTAATATGGTTAATTATTTAAATCCTTTCTAAATTAATAATGAGTGTAAGAATAATAGAAAACTGAGTTTGTTACTTATTAATCAATAAGTTCTTGTGATGCACAATCTAAAAATAGGAAAGGAAATTACCATTTTTTTCTGTACTATTTACACATTTATTAAGTAATGCTCCAAATAATGTAAAATTATCCATTCTTAAAGACCCTTATAATCTAATTGTTTTAAAATCCTCAGCCTTCTAGTGATCAAAGCAATAACTAATATACTAGTAATCTTCGGGTATTCCCATATTCTAAAACAGATTTAATTTCATTTTACTTTTGATAATTCACTGATTATGTCACCACAAATAGTACTAGGAAAATAAGTACATTATGTGTCTGATATAGATTTATTACAAAAATAGAACGTAACAGAATAAATACTATTATTCTTATTTATTATTGGTTATCCTCCTCCATCTAATAGTCCAGCTACAAAAATGAAGTCTTTTGAATCAAATGTGTAACCCTTAATTATATATATATATATTACTTCATTATTTTAAAGGAGAGCCTCTTGTCTATTGAGAATAGCGTTTTTTCCTTCATTCATTTATAAGATAAATAAGTAGAATGAATATATGAGAACAGATAAAATTAAGATAGAGGCAGTTCCTCCAGTATACGTTTTATGTGTTTTTGATCCTTAACTTAAGAGATGAACATCCATTCCAAATATATCAAGGGTTCTAAGGTTTTAGGCAGCAAATTCAAATATGTACATAATAAACTTAGTTTATATTAATTAAATCAATTAACATTTAGTTAGCAAACTCAATACAAATTGAAACATACATAAAATTTAATAAGGTTTAAGTTTTCAGAAATTGCCAATTAACATATTAATAAAATAATATTTATATAATTATTTTTATACTACTGTCAATCATTCAATTATGTAAGCAGCGTTACATCCCTTTTAACCAAAAATCTCTTTGGTTTTGAACTATATTACTGACATACATCACAAAATTAGTAGAATGACCAGTTGTTGATAAAACTCCTCTTCTTGCACTGGTTTTGTAGAATGGACAATTATAAGTAGGAGGAGGAATAATTTTAGAAATAAGTAAAGGACATAATTAGATTTTTGGACATTTTCCGTATAAAACCTTATTATATAATAAAAATTATGCTTTTGTATTTGATTCATCTAAATCCATAGTATTGAAGTTTCATTTAGCACCTTCTAAATATCCCCCTACATAATTTTTATGTTAAGATTGTATTCATTGATTCTTTAGAATTGAATGGATATTTTTCAGTACCCTATTCATAATTAAATTCATCAGGAAAATTTGTCATAATTGTTTTAACTAATTATTCAAGTACTTATTCAAATGATTATCCATTTGAACTCCTACCTTAAGCAGAATATAATAAAAAAGAATCTTAAATAAGATTAGTTTCATTCATATCTTTAGTGATATCTGAGTTTGGATGAAAATTAAATATCTATGGTAGTGGAAGTTATTTAATATGATCTAAATATTCTTCTCTTGTTTTTTAATAAGTTTTCTATCCTTATCATCTGTCACTCTTTCACCATAATTACATTCTGCTGTTAAATTTCTTAATGCCTTTTCATCTAAGAACATTCTTAATTATTAGTTAAAATAAAAACAATTTTTAATTGAATCTAACACATATATGTAAATCTGATTCATTAAATTCATAAGGAATATAATATAGGTCCATAATTTCTACGTTCTTGAATAACTGCAATTAAATTTTAAAATAATATTTTTTGTTCTTTTATATTTTTTACTTATTTAAAAAGAATTCATTTTGATTTAAAATAATGTTTTTGTTCCTTTATATTGTTTATAAAAAATTTTGAAATTATTTTATCTTTGTTTAATTTTTATATTATTAACTATTTAAAAAGAATTTATTTTAATATAAATTTTAAAATAATATTTTTTGTTCTTTTCTATTGTTTCCATATTTAAACAAAATTATTTTGATAAAAAATTTAAATAAAGTATTTTGTTAAAATTTTTATCTTGTTTACATATTTAAAAATAAATTATTTTGATAAATATTTTAAATAAAGTTTATTTTAATTTTCATTTTGTTTACCTCTTTATAATTAGTTTATTATGATATAAATTATAAAGTAATGTATTTTGTTAAAATTTTTATCTTGTTAACACACTTGAAAAGAATTTATTTTAAGCATAAAGACTTTTGTAGCAAAGACTTAAAATAACAAAAGGTAGTACAACTAATCTCTTTAAAATAAACCTGAAATACTTGTTATATCAATCCATGTATAATAAATTCACAAACCTCTATTGTTCTATCATTTCCTTAAGAAAATAGTTTAGTTCCATTATTACTTAAAGTCATACTTAGAGCACTTCCTTGATGCTATTACATCTTTAGTTACTGCTACAAAAAATTAGTTCCATTAGAATCCAAAGTATTATGACTTAATCAATAAAATCTGAGATAAAAATATCTGCTCTACCAACAAAGGTAATTAATTTTCCTTTCTTATCAAAAGCTGTACAAAAATGTTATTAGATATAACTGACTCAACTAATTTTCAATTCATTTATTTATTATAGATCTTATTTATTAATAAAAATTTTTAATCAATTTTTAAGATCCTTTTATTTTTCATGTTTAAAAATTAATTAAATATTTAATTCTCTTTCAATTAACTGATTATAATTATTTCAGAGTTGGAGAATTATTTTTTATAATAAATTTAATAAGTTCTGAAAAGAATACTATAAATTTTCCACTTCTTAATACATTTAAATTAGATTAACATTTTAAGTTATTATATAAATGTATAAAATACCATTATGTAAAAATGAGAACTCCTATGTCCAAATCATAAATAAGGGTGAAAATGCAACTTTATTCATTTGCAATTAATGCCATCATAATTTGTTTGACTTAAATTCAAGATTTAATTTTTAATATCTAATAAATATCAACAGAATATAAAACTATTATTATTTGAGGAGATAAAACATTTCAAAACTAGATGTATCTGAGAAGAAGTTACTTTTAATCAATAATTCAAAGAATTTGAATCTTTGATTAAGAATATTTAAGATAGATTTAAAAAGATGCTTTAGAATAATATCATCTTTATACTTTTAGGTATTATATTTAATAATGGGTTATTATCCATCAGTAACCTTAACAGTAAAAACATAACTTGCTCCTAAAATCATTCAAATTTTTTGGTTTGCTTTAAATATTTTAATTGAATAAAATTAAAAGGGCTCTCATCCTGAAAGAGTATCAGCAAGATATTTAGAATAATTCAAACAGTGAAAAGAAATAATATTTTGATATCCAGACTCTAAAATAAGAAGCAAAAGTTTAAATAATCCTTTCAGATTGGTAATTATTACTTCTAGAATTTGAACAATTTATTACAAATAAAAAATAGTAAAATCAGAAGTGTTAGTTTTAAAATAAATAGATCAAACAGTAAAATCAAATAATATTAATTTAGCAACAGAATCTGTGAATATTTAAAAAAGATACTAGGATAAATTCTCTTAATATTATATGAAACTTTTATTTTATTTTTCAAATAAATGGATTTATTAATAAAAATGAACTTGCAAGAAGGTGTGAATAATTGATATCTATAGAGTAATTTGATTAACCGTTACAAGATTAAATTTGAACAATAAATTAAAGCAATATTAGAAATTTAATATAAACCAAAAGAAATATCAAGAAAGAAATATTCAAATTATTTTAATTAAATCCAGAAGAAAAAATGATTCACTTTATAAACTTTATTTGATAATCAATAAATTGCCTTGTAAAAGAATGAGATTTCATTTGACTTGTTTAAATGAAACAATTTCAGTAATAATATTAATTAATAGTTGTGCATATTTTATTAATTTAGATATTATTTAAAGACTTTATATCTTTGTATATTATTAAAAATTCATTTATTACTTTCTTAGAAAGAATCTTTATATTATTTACCAATATTACAGATAAATATTAAGCAACTATCTCTAAAAATTTTTATGTCCAATTTAATTATTAGTTTTTCTTAGCAACAAATGTTTTATTTATCTATAAATAAGTTTATGATTGTCTTTCTGTTTGCTAATTGAATAAAATATCGAGGTGATAATATTGTATTATAACAATTAGTTCATATTTGAATCCTCATCCAAGAAAATATGCAAGCTTGTTATTCCAATTGGTTAAAATTTACATTAAATAATTTGAAAATTAAAGTTTCTGAAAAAGGAGGTTATGTTTCTATTTTTATCATTTAATCAAATAATATGTTAATATATTATTTATATTTGGTCAAGCTGAGATAATTAATAACTAAATTTGGAGCTATATTAAATGTATGTAGGTTAGTGGAATCATTTGTTTGTGATACATATCCAATTTTATTAAATGAACTATTATTGCAACCATCGGCAGCTTAATCATTTTAATCATCAAATTACTCATTTTCTTATAAAAATCAATCACCACAATTTTATATTTATTCTCATAGATTTGAACTTAATAAGTAATATATAGAGTATCAAACTTTAATCAAATATATTGATATAGTAAATATACACAATTTAATTCAAAATAACCATCAAATTATATCATATTAAGGTCATCACAATCCTCCTCTTTAGTGATAATATGATCACCACAATTCAATAAAGTAAAACTATTGTACTTTTCAATCAACATATTTAAAAAAAGTTTGTATATATTACTATTTCCTACTTCAAATTGAATCTGGCCTCAAACTTATTATTAAATATATTAACTAACTTTTAAGTAAAGATTGAAGGCTAATAAAGAAATGAATAAAGTAGTTTAAGAATATTCTTAGAAGATATATTTAATACACAAGACATTAATTTCAATCATAGTAATTAAAGTCAAGTTACAAGAAATAATAATATAATTCCAAATGGTTATATGCTAAAATTCTTAAAGATTTTTATGATGCTATGATGAATCAAAAAACTATTTCCTCTTTTTTACACAGAATATTTATCAATAAAAGAAAATATATTCACTTATATTAAATTGATTCATAGTTTATTTTTTAAAATAGAATAGTTTATTATTATGAAAAGTGTCATGCTTTTAGGAAAGAAATAAAAGAGTAAAAATAATTGGTGGAAAATACAGATGTTTAAAATCTTGACTAAGGAACAGTTAAGGAAATTAATGTTTATTATCCTTAAGTTTAAAATACAATAGTTGGGAAATAAGAAAAAATTATGGTATAACAATAATGAAAATGAAAAGTTTCAAAGCAGTAAATATTAAATTATAAGAACTAAATGGTTGGGAATAAAAAAGAGGCAAGTTCATCACCAGATTCATAATCTGATACTTCATCATAATCTAGATATAAATATTTAATAATGATTATCTCAATTTTTTGTAAAAAGCTGAATGATGATAATATATATAAATATATATAGATATTTATAAATCATTGTTTAATTAGGTGAATCTCACATCTAATAAGATGATTGCATAATTAAGAAAATGCTTATATAAATATATTTAAAGGAATCCTAGATAGATGCTAATACTTAATCAACAGGATTTATAAAAAAATTAATGATAGATAGAGGAATAATGAAAATGTAGGAAATAATGAAAAAATAAATTAAAATTTTCAAACTTTTTGGTTTTATTGTATGTTATAAGAGATGGAATATTGAAAGGATGATAATCAAGAAACTAACTAAAGTTGGAGATGTAAAAAAAGTAAAGGAGTTAATAAACTTAAAAATATGAAGAACTAAAACATGATAATTTTGAGAAAACCAAAGAAAGTAAAGAATCTATTAGTAAGTTATGAAATAGTTTTAAGCAACAAATCAAGTATTTAGAATAATCGATTTTGGCAGAATAGTAATGGTAATATAATGTTCCCTCATAAATTACAATTAAATATTATATTAGATGAAGGTGGTAATTATTCAATAATTTAATCTTTCATGTTTGATTCTTCAAAATTTGTTCATATTTTACTATTTGAATAAATAATTGGATTTTAACTTTTATTAAGTAATTTTTTTTTACTTACACTATATTAATTAATGTAATAAACTAGATTAAACTTGATATATTTATTTCACTTATATACATAAGATAATGTCTTAACTTTGTAAGATTAATATTAGTCTTTTACTAAATATTAAATTTTACTTTTAATTTTTTTTGATCTTTGAAGTTTAATAATCAATTTTCATTTATATTTTCATAAATCATATTAATTATTGCTTTATATTAATTGATATACATAAATTAGACATATGGCTTTTTTACATTTGTATCAAATGATCACAATAAAATTTATCTAAGTTCCTTTAATTAATCACTATAAAATTTTATTATTAGTTCAAGTTTATACTTTAATCTATTCTTTTAATTTCTTTTCAATTATAATACAAGAATAGATTATTTTTTTTTAGAGAATGGAACAAAGAATTTGAATAAAGCAACTAAAATGAATTAAATTAATGAAAATTTTAATTTCTTTAAGAATTTAGTTCACATATTGAATATTTAACTTATAGAGTATCAACATTCAATAAAAAATAAATCCCATACTGTTATAAAAAAATAAGTGAAACCTTTTAGAAAAAATATAACTCAATTTATAATAAACATTGCTTTCGAAAGTTATGTCACTACCTGCCATATTTGTGTATTAGTTACTAACATAAGATATTGTTAAATGTATTAATGATAAATTTTCCTTCCTTATTTTCTTTAAAAAAAGTAAATTACTTGTCTCTTTTATCAGCTGCTACTAAGGAGTAAAATACATATCATTTTATGCTAATTCATCTTTTAACAATTTAAGCATTGCCATAAGCAAAGATTTAAACATTAAATAAATATCCACTATAAGTAGGATAAGAATAATCTATTCATTTCTATCCCATAGATTCTTTACATTATTATTATCTTTATTAGAAATACTCAGAGATTTCTAAACATTCTTCTTGACTTACTGCTAACATTCTTTTGAACTAGATATTACTTTTAAAGTATTATTTTTGTTTCTTCGAAACTTTAGTGGTTAATATTGTAAGAGTTTAATTCATTTTATTTGGCTTTCTAACTTAAAGTCTAAAACTTTAGAGAGAAATTTTTAAATTGAAAAATAAAAATAATTTATCAGTCACTACAGTCCAATTTTTTTTAAGTTAATTATTTTGGTACATAATAATCTCTTTTATCATCCAAAGACTAGATTGGCAATTATCCATTAAGTCCAAGTATTTAACTAATTCAGCTGTCACAACCAATGTAAATGGTTGAAATTATCTTGAGCAACTATTCCTTCCCCTCTCCTAAAGATTTTGACCTTATTTAGTTTTTGTTGTAAATGAATTGATACTATCCAAATTTTGCACGATTTTAAATAATAAACGTCAAAACTATTCTAAAATTTCAAAATTAAAACAATGAGCTACTTCTTTAAATTTATCACCAATATCGTTATATTTTTATTTTGTAGTATTCCCCTACTGATAGTTAAGGATTAGGTGTGTCTCCCTTAATCAACTCTAATAAATGTCTAAGATTATGATAAAAGCAAATAACATAATGTGAGCATTTATTACGATATTAAGTAATTTTACTTGATTGTGCCCCATAAAAGCACTAAAAATAGCAGGCTAATCTTCTCTTGAATATTTACTTTCAATAATAAGCTCGACTTTTAGAGGTAATTTGAAAATGCAAGTGAGAATTAACTGACTTTTTTTATACATATGTTCTAAATTCTTATTTTTTAACAATACACCTCTTGATGATGACGTATGCTCAAAAAAAGGATTTTACTGTATCATATTCATCAAATTTAGAAATATACTTAGATTAGACTATAATTAATGAAAGCACTTTAAATAGTAAAATATTGTCAGAGGTAATATCTAAAACTTTTAATTTATTTCTCAATGCCGTGATTCATAAGCTTGAAAATATAAGACTACAAACAATAAACACAAAGCATGCCAGAACTGGTTTTATGGTCCAAAATAGGATGTATAAATAACCAAGAATAGTTACTAAGCTTAAAAACTGAGCATAAGTATCTGACTCTTGATTCATAATCAAATTTATTTGAATATAATAATCGTTAAACTAGGTTTGGGATATACATGTCAATCTCAAAATTAGAATTTTTATTTCTTCATAATTTTTTATGATTGTTAATATAGATGGGTTAATTCATCAGGCAGTTGTAGGTAAATTTTTCTGCATGCAATATTTGTTTGAGAAACTTAATTTCTTATTATCATAACTCTGTGTGTTTTTTTTCTGTCTTTTATATATTTAGTTTATACATTAAGGTAGAATTTATGCTTTCAAAATCATTAAATCACATTAGAAATAGTTTGAGATCTTAGAAGTAATAAGCAAAAATACTTTCCTACATAAAGAATACTCTCATTCTACCCTATAAGAAACTTTTTGAATTCTTCTATAAGCTTATTGTAAATATAGAAGACTATGTGTACTATGACTAGATTATATCATTGTTGCAAATACTTTCTTCTGGACTGCTGTGGATATTTTGACAAAATTATTGTTATTAAATGTTTCCTCTTTCTATTCTCTGCAGCGTCAGTATTGGTACAAGCTGAATAAAGTCAAGGCAAAAATCTTAGAATTATCAAGGATGATTGAATCAATCAATAAGAGTAAAAATTTTAAATGCAATTATTCTCATTTAAAAATTGTGTTTATTTCTTAATAAATGGTTACTAGATATTTTCAATTTATTAGAACTTTCATCCCCATCAAATAAATAAATTCAACAACTTTTCTTTGAGAAAAATTAGATTAACTCGCATAAAGTTGACTTAATGGCCATAAATTTAAATTAAGCATCTTTTTTCAAATGCTTTTATCAATTTCTTATTTCTTCTGATGCTAAAAAAAATTGCAAAAATATTTAATAACTTAATATTATTTTAAGTTTTAAAGGAAATATGTCCAAATTCAATTTTTGTACTTAAACATTAGAGATATATTTTCAAAAGTATGTAACTCTGCAGAACTGAAACAGATAATCATATCATTTGTTAGTTATAGCAGGAAAGAAATTTTTTAAGCTTCTTCGTAATAGAAATTTACTTGATTAAATTAAAATTCACAAGATAGTTCTAAGAAAATCTGTATGATTTAAAGTTGAGATACTTATTTGGTTATGTAGTGCACCTTTTACTTTTATGGTTGTTGTTATTTTTGCTATAAGTAACATCTTTAAAATTACATGAGAGATATTTAGATTAAATGTTGCCAAGGAGATTTATTTCTTTCTAAGAGATAAATTATTAAATTTTCCTTGACTTCAAGAAGGAGAAGTCATTTTTTAATATAAATTCTAATATTATAAGCAAGATTATATAATAATTATGTCAGAAATTAGAATGATTTATTCCAACTAAAATATAAATTTTATATTC